GTGTGTGTGTGTGTGTGATGGAGAGAGAGAGAGTGTGTGTGTGTGTGTGTGTGTGATGGAGAGAGAGAGAGTGTGTGTGTGCGTGATGGAGAGAGTGTGTGTGTGTGTAAGTGTGTGTGATGGAGAGAGAGAGTGTGTGTGTGATGGAGAGAGAGTGTGTGTGTGTGTGATGGAGAGAGAGAGAGCGTGTGTGTGTGTGTGTGATGGAGACCGTGTGTGTGTGATGGAAAGTGTGTGATGGAGTGTGTGTGTGTGTTTGTGTTAGAGAGATGGAGAGTGTGCATGTGTATGTGAGATAGAGAGAGATGGAGAGAGAGTGTGTGTGTGTGTCTGAATATGTGCATGCACCTGCATGTGTCTGAGCTTGCGTCGTGTAAGTGTACGTGTGTCTGAGCCTGTATATTTCAGAGCCTGAATGCATCAATGAGCCTGACTGTGTTTAAGCACATGCATGTCTGAGCGTCTGGTAGTACATGTGTTTGAGTGCTGAATGAATCTGACTGCGGAATTTTGATTCAGTTAATTGATAAATGCACCAATGGAGATTTCACTTGACTGATAACTGGGATAGAGGGAGTCATTTTATGAAAGATTGGGTGTCTGAGCCTATGTGTCTGAGCCTGCATGTGGTTGAGTATGCATCAGTGAGCATGCGTGTGTCTGAGCCTATGTGTCTGAACCTGCGTGTGTCTGAACCTGTGTATGTCTGAACCTGTGTGTGTCTGAGCGTGCGTGTGTCTGAGCCTGCATGTTTCAGCATGCATCAGTGAGCCTGTGTCTGAGCCTGCGTGTGTCTGAACTTGCGTGTCTGAGCCTGCGTATGTCTGAACCTGTGTGTGTCTGAGCGTGCGTGTGTCTGAGCCTGCATGTTTGAGCATGCATCAGTGAGCCTGCGTGTTTGAGTATGCATTGGAGAGCGTTCACGCATCTGAGCATGTGTGTGTCTGAGCCTCCGTGTGTCTGAGCTCAGATATCTGAACCTGCGTGTGTCTGAACCTATGTGCCTGGGCCCGCGTGTGTCTGAGCCTGTGAATGTCTCAAGCGTGCGTGTGTCTGAACCTATGTATGTCTGAGCCTGCATCAGTGAGTGCACATATGTCTGAGCCTGCATCAGTGCAACGATGTGCAAATGTGTTGGGCCCCTAATCCACTGGAGTTTAGAGGAATGAGAGGCAATCTGATTGGAACATAGGCGACCCTGAGGGGAATTAACAGGGATGACCTTGAGAGGAGATTTCACCTTGTGGGAGAGACTGGAATGAAAAAATAAATTTCAAAATAAGAGGCCTCCCATTTAGGAGGGACGAATGGGGGAGCAACCTCAAAGAGCCAAATGAACTACTCCAGCTTCTTACTTGCATCTTTGTGTCCGTCTGTATAAATCTGGAATTAAAACCTCCTCTCAGTCATACTTGTCCGAAAAGAAGATTCGTAGAACACAGAAAAATAGCCTTTGGCCCATCAAGTCTGTACTGATCAAACACAACCACCTAACTATTCTAATCCCTCTTTCCCTCACTTGGCCCATAGCCTTGTGTGCCTTGGCATCGTAAATGTGCATCCAGTTGCTTCTTGAATGTTATGTCCTGAAGTCAATTCCAGTCTCCCACCACCCTATACATCACCCTCTAAATCTCTGCCCCCTTATCTTAAATCAATGCTCCGTGGTCATTGATCCCTCATCAAGGGGAAAGGTCTCTTCCCATCTACCACATCTATGACCCTTAAATAACTTTATACATCTCAATCAAGTCCCCCCACCCCCACCACCACCCTTCAGTGCCCTCTGCTCCAAGAAAAACAGCCTCAGTGTGTCCAATCTCTCTTCATTACAAAAACTCTCCAACACAGGCAATATCCTGGTAAATCTCCTCTGCATCCTCTCCAGAGCGATCACATCCCACCTATATTGTGGTTGCCAGGCTGCACACAGTACTCTAGCTGTGGCAAAGCAACGTTTTATACAATTCCAACAGAACCTCCCCGATCTTAAACTCTATGGCTCAGCTGAGACCATGATCAGATAGGCCAGTGGGCCGAGGAGTGGCAGATGGAGTTTAATTTAGATAAGTGTGAAGTGTTGCATTTTGGTAAGGCAAATCAGGGCAGGACTTACACACTTAATGGTACAGCCCTGGGGAGTGTTGCCAAACAAAGGGACCTTGGGGTGCAGGTGCATAGTTCCTTGAACGTGGAGTTGCAGGTAGACAGGATAGTGAAGAAGGCATTTGGCATGTTTGCCTTCATTGGTCAGCGCATTGAATATAGGAGTTGGGACGTCATGTTGCGGATGTACAAGACATTTGTGGAGCCACTTTTAGAATACATTCAATTCTGGTCTCCCTGCTAATAGAAAGACATTGTTAAACTTGAAAAGGTTCAGAAAAGATTTACAAGGATGATGCTGCGATTGGAGGATTTGAGCTACAGGAAGAGGCTGAGTAGGTTGAGGCTATTTTCCCTGGACTGTCAGATCTGAGAGGTTATAAAATCATGAAGGGCATGGATAGCGTGAATAGCCAAGGTCTTTTTCCTAGGCTGGTGGAATCCAGAGCTAGATGGCACAGGTTTAAGGTGAGAGGGGAAATTTTAAAAGGGATCTGAGGGGTAATTTTTTCACAGAGGGTGGTGTGTGTATGGAAAGAGCTCCTGGAGGAAGTGGTGGAGGCAGGTACAATTACAACATTTAGAAGACATTTGGATAGGTATGTGAATAGGGAGGATTTGAACAGATATGGGCCAAAAGCTGGCAAATGATACTAGATAAGTTTAGGATATCTGGTAGGGATGGACAAGTTGGATCAAAGGGTCTGTTTCTGTGCTGTATAACTCTGTGACTCTATAACTCTGTGACTCTATAATAAAAGCATGTACATTCTTAACCACTTCATTTACATGTCCTGCTACTTTAAGAGACTGAGGGACATGCACACCAAGGTCCTACTTTATCATACATTTACTCGCTTTGTTTGTCCTGCCCAAATGCATCACCTTATATTTATCAGGATTGAACTCCATTTGCCACTGATCAGTCCATCTAACCAGCCGGTCGAAATCCTCCTGCAATCTAAGGCTGTCCTCCTCAGTATTTATCACCCTACCTATTTCTCTATTGATTTTCGTCAAAACTCATCTGATTCACTAAAGTCCGCTGGGAAGGAGTCCTTTACTCAGTGTGGCCTACAGCAATGTGGTTGACTTTTAATCGCCTCCTAAAATGGCCTGGACTGGCATTCCATAGGAGCAGAAGTGAGCCATTCAGCCCATCAAGATTGCTCTGTCATTCAACAAGATCATGGCTGGTCTGATAAACCTCAACTCCACTTTCCTGCCTTTTCTCCATTCCCTTTGGTTCCCTTACTGATTAAAATGCTGTCTGTCTCAGCCTTGAATACACTTAATGACCCAGCCTCAACAGCCCCTCTGTGGTAAAGAATTCCACAGATTCACTCCCCTCGGAGAGAAGAAATTCCTCCTCATCTCTGTCCTCAGTGGGCGACCCCTCACTCTGAGATGATGCACCTCTGAGGCCTAGACTCTCTTACACAAGGGGAAACAACCTCTCCACATCTCCCCTGTCAAGTCCCCATATGAACCTTGTCTGTTTCAATTAGGTCGCCTCTCATTTTTCTAAACTCCAAAAAGTACAGGGCCAATCTACTCAACCTCTCCTCTTAAGACAGTCCTTCCACACCTGGGACCAGCCTAGTGAACTTTCTCTGGCAGGTTCCAGATGTGGATACAATGTGTAAACATAACCAAACACTGATATGTGCAGACTGATAGCACTAGGAGACACCTCTGCCCATAACTTCAAGCATTAATTTTACATGCAACACAGACGTGATGTCCATTGGAGCTGCTGAAATGCACAGAACTTCAGATCACATTCCCATTTACGTCAGAAGTAACCGAAAAACCCTGTAGGGTGTCCTGTAAGGAAAAAAGAACCTAGAGGAGGGATAGTCACACAAAATACAGATAAAGTGTTACATGAAAATGTCCATCATGAATCTGTACCAGTTATTTTGAATCCCTCAGGTATTCATGGTGTCCAAAACTTTTACCTAGCATTTATTAGGAAGTGGTCAACAGGTTGTTTAATCAAGAGGGTTACACAATCTAAGGGAAAAACAGGAAGCGCTGATGTTTGAAAGGAGATGGCACAGGCATTTCTACAGTTAATGGGCCAGACATCAGTATGATAAGTGATTGATTAAATCAATTAACTTCTCAAGCTAAAGGCATACTAGGTGCGATGAATGATTACACTAATTGGACACTACGAACGGTTTTGCATTTTGTATTGTTAACATGTTAGAATTACAGTGGCGCAACTAACAAGTGCACAAAGGAAGCAGGAAACAACAGTCAATATCAAATAAGTAACTTTGTGTATATACGCAAGTGAATATTGGATCAGTACACAAACTATAAATTAAATGATAAAGGGAGTAGTTCCCACACGGGTTGACAACACTAAATTAAGGAACTTAGCTGATGACACAGGAACCTTAAGTAACATCTCTGTACGAGAGTTAAGGAGGTTCTACCTTATGCAGTAGAAAAAGGGGTAGACTTGCAGGGACAGCACTTAAGGAATGCCAAGACTGATAAAGCTACTGTTCGTCCCTATCCCACTTATAAAACTGGAAAAGCTATATGCGGTTTTGAGTCCAGCAGGAATGAAAGTTGACTGTACTCTCAAAATTTCAAGTAGCACTTGAGACAATGTAATCAGAGTTGGATATGCAGGTGAAGGACAATACTGTATCACAGCATCTTCAAAAGAATATCTTGTCCCATTACTGATGCAGTAGCTTGCATTCACCCTCAAATGCCCATGCACAAAGCAACAATGGAATTGTTTTATGTCAGAAGAAAATCTGTGACTTTTGATGTGACTGACTCAGCTGCAGAAATGGTTATGTGTCATTGACAAAAATATGAGGTCTATATTGCCCTGCAAAGGGAACATTTGGAAGACATGAAAGGGACTTTGAGAAAGGCAGATAGATTATACATTAGGGACAAACATTAAGGGACATTCTTGATGGGATGACGTCTAGAATCAGGGAAGTCATATACAGCCAACCACATGGGTTCATATTATTGCATTGCTGGTAGTTGTTAAGGCACGTTAAAAGCTGCAATGGGTGAAGCATAATGCATGGTTATTCCTGTATTTTTGTTTTGTCCATGTTTATTTCTTCATGCATTTTTATTACTCTTGTGATTTATTTCCTGATCATCATTCTGTACTTCATTTATTGATTAATTTGCATATATCTGTACCACATAATGGAATGGTACATTTTTAAAGAGTGCATGGCATAGCAACTCAGCTGGGATATAAACCGATACAGGGGGAAATGTCCAACTACTAGTGTTTGTTCATCATATTAAAAGTAATGAACAAAGAGGAGGGAGTGTGATATTCTCGACTTCAGAACTTTAATATATGGATTAAGTGAATCAACAGAAGATAAACCATTAAATGAAGAAAGAAGCAGGAATAACTCTGATTGGAATAAATTAATAAAGAAAAGGACAAACTTACACAGGAATTGAAAGCAATTAGGGAAAAGAGGGAGGTAAAACGATATAAACAAAACTGCTTTGACACCCGCTCATAGAGATGTACAACATGGAAATGGGCCCTTCAGTCCAACACGTCTGTGCCAACCAGATATCCTAAACTACTCTGGTCCCATTTGCCAGCATTTGGCCCGTATCCCTCTAAACCCTTCCTATTCATGTACCCATCCAGATGCCATTAAATGTTCTCATTGTACCAGCCTCCCCCACTTCCCTGGCAGCTCATTCCATACACGCACCGCCCTCTGTGTGGAAAAAGTCCTCCCTTAGATCCCTTCCAAATTTTTCCCCTCTCACCTTAAACCTATAACCTCTAGGTTTGAACTCCCCTACCCTGGGAAGACGACCTTGGCTATTCACCCTATCCATGCCCCTCGTGATTTTATAAACCTCAATAAGGTCACCCCTCAGCCTGCCACGCTCCAGGGAAAATAGCCCCAGCCCTATTCAGCCTCTCCCTATAGCTCAAACCCTCCAACCCTGGCAACATCCTCATAAATCTTTTCTGAGCCCTTTCTAGTTTCACAACATCCCTCCTATAGCAGGGAGACCAGAATTACACACAGTACTCCAAAAGTGGCTGAACTAAAGTCCTGTACAGACGCAACATGACCTCCCAACTCCTATACTCAATGCACTGACCAATAAAGACAAGCATACCAAACTATGAACCTGCACGTCAAGGTCTCTTCGTTCAGCAACACTCCCCAGGACCTTACCATTAAGGGTATAAGTTCTGAGATAACAAGGTGTAGAGCTGGATGAACACAGCAGGCCAAGCAGCATCAGAGGAGCAGGAAAACTGACGTTTCAGCCCTAGACCCTTCTTCAGAAAATCATATAAGTATAAATCCTGCCCTGATTTGGCTTTCCAAAATGCAGCATTTCACATTTATCTAAATTTAACTCCACCTGCCACTGCTTGACCCATTGATCTATTGTGCTCGATAAACTGGATGCTTTATTGCCACAAAGGACAAGGATTGCCCTGCAGAAGAATTTCAGAAAGTTTATCACAGGAAAGCTGTCTCTTCAGACAGACAGTCAATGCCAAATACAACAAGGAATAAAGAGACTACTTCTGAAGGCAACTGAGACTTGCAGTAATTTGGATGAAAGGACTTTGGGAAAATCATCAGTACTATCACACAAAGATCAAAGGACAAAAGTCTGTATCAGAATTGAACACCAGAACTCCTCCCTATCAGTGCTCCAAAGATGAACTTTGCACAAGGATTGAAACCTGGACACTTCCAGAGACAGACCACTGTTGGTGGGATCCTAGTCAGATTCCACCATTAATCGGGTAATAGCCAAATTGGGTTGTGAGGCTTAACTTTGCTTACGTGAAGGGTCTTAATTTCATTCCTGCATGCAATAAAGTTTAAATCATTGTTTCGGTACTTGATTGTGAGATTTCTTAATTAATAGCCGAATTAAGGGTAATTTGTGGAGATGTGCCCACAACAGAAGGACACATTTACCATCAAGGGAGGACAGTGGAGGTCACGAGGCTGATATCTGGAATGGCAGGACTGTCCTATGAGGAGGGATTGGTTCAATTGGGCCTGTAATCACTCAACTGTAGAAGGATGAGATGGAAAATTACAAAACTCCAACAGGGAGCATGTTTCCCCTAGTTGGACAGTCAAGAATCAAGGGCACACATTCTCAGGATACAGGGCAGAACATTTAGGATCATTCAGAACCTCATTTTTCGCTTGGGGACCCTGCAACCTTCTGGGCTCAATATCAAGTTCAATAACTTTAGGGCTTGAGCTCTCCCATGTCCTCATCCTAACCCCCCACACACCAGGCCTTGTTATCACACAGTCTGCTATCACACACAACCCATTGTTAGCCACTAACAGTCCCCATTAATAGCTATTCACCCTCCTAGCCAGATCATTATCCACTCCTTTGTTTGTCCAACTGTTCTTCTCTCTCTTTGGACTCTATCCCCACTTATCATTTACTCCTTACCCCCCTTTCCCCACCCTGTCTTCTGTATTTAAACCAACATATTTCTAGCTACCATCAGTTCTGAAGAAAGGTCACTCGACTCAAAACATTAACCCTGATTTCTCTCCACAGATGCTGCCAGACCTGCTGAGCTTTTCCAACAATTCCGTTGTGGCTTCCCATTTAGGACTGAGATGAGAAATAATATCTTCATTCAAAGCAGGGTAGTAAACCTGTGGAATTTTCTACCATGATAAGCTGTGCAGGCCAAATACTCAAGAAACAGATTTTTTTTAGATTTTAAGGACATTATGGGGAATGAGCTCGAGGATCAGTCATGATCATATTGAATGGTGGTGCAGGCTCAAAGGGCCAAATGGCCTACATTTGCTCTTAATTTTGATAAAAAATCACTGACCTTTTTGTCAAACATGGTTTCCATTTTGTGAATCCATGCTGACCCCATCCACTTTGACCTTTCTTTTCTAAGCATGTGGTTATTTTTTTTCCTTTATTCATTCACGGGATGAGGGCGTCGCTGGTCAGGCAGCATTTATTGCCCATCCCTAATTGCCCAGAGGGCAGTTCAGAGTCAACTACATTGCTGTGGGTCTGGAGTCACATGTAGGCACAGATCAGGTAAGGATGGCAGTTTCCTTCCCTAAAGGACGTTAGGGAATCAGATGGGTATTTTCCAACAATTGACAATGGATTCATGGCCATCATTAGACTGTTAATTCCAGATATTCAAATTCCACCATCTGCCATGGCGGGATTCGAACTCAGGTCCTCAGAACATTATCTGCGTCTCTGGATTAACAGTCCAGTGGTAATACCACTAGGCCATTGCCTCCCCTATCACATTGTTACTAATATATTTCAGCATTTTCCTTACTATTGACATGAAACTGACAGTTCTGTAGTTCTCCACACACTTCTCCCTTCCTAAGTAATGAAGTTACATTTGCTACTTTCTTCTCCTGGTGTACAAACTGTTCTGACCATTTGAAATTTGGCAATTTCGCATTTATCCCAATGTGTGAAGGATGAAAAGTATAAAGGCACGTTCCTCTCCTTTCAGACTCTGATCAACGTCAAAGGGACAAGGAGGGGATGCAGAGGGTTGGGACATGGAATATCCGACTGCAAATATTTTGGGGTTTTGGGTGAGAGGATGTTGGGGTAAGAACAGAAACCTTTCAAAGGGTTCAGGAATAAAAACAGAATGGCCAGAAGGACACAGTGGCTTGATCAGACTCTGGGACCTGAAGCTCGGTGTTTCTAATGTCTCAGGAGCCAGAGAGAAAGTCAAATCAATCTATTTCTGCGTTTGCTTTCACTTCTTTATTGAGGAGTTGAAATTCCAAACTTGGAGCTCTGCAGAAGATTAACAGTGTGATTCCGTACAGAGGCCAGGATACAGGCTTCTAAAAGATTCTGATCACCATTTATCTAGGATTAATCAGAACAACACACCCTGAACACCAACCAGTTAGCCCTGGGAGCAGGGAAATCATGACAGAGATCAATGTTTTAAATCTTTTCCTAATTTGGGTGCCAGGGTGGGGGTGAGAAATCGTAGCAGTGTTGTGGGAAAGAGAAAAAAACCAGTGCAACGTCCAGCAAGATGGTGTGAAATCGGACATTTCAGGTGAGATCAGGAGGTGACCAGAGACGCCTTGGGGACTGAGATCACTGCATGTATTGTGCACACCTTCACGATCCGCAGTCCCTGGGAGCTTTTCACATTGAACTTTTGACAAACTGCTGGCGTTTGGCTCAGATGTCAAAATGTCACCCTCGGCATAAAAGCACCGCTGGCCTTCCCATGAAGGAGGAGCACAGAGCAGTTATGTTACTGTCAACAGAGCTAAGGAACCAGAGATGTCAGTTCAAATCCAAACACAGCAGCTTGGGTAAGGCAGGGAAGACCTTTGTTTTAATTTAATAAATCTGGAATTTAACTTCAGGACACGTACCTTTAAAAGCTGCCCACGTCATCCCTAGATTATCATTAAAAAAAACCTCTCTGGTTCCATGGAGAAGGAATCCTTACCCAGTCTAACCAGCATGTGTGCGACTCCAAACCCACAGCAATGAGAGTGACTCTCCAATCTACACAGCACTGATACAGCAGAACACTCAGCTGTCACCACCATCATCATCTAAAAGGAAATTGAGGATGGGCAATAAATGCGGGCCCAGCCAGCGACATCCCCATTACGAAATGATACTTAGAAAATAATAACAAAACACATCTGACAGCAGCATGGTGGCTCAGTGGTTAGCAGTGCTGCCTCACAGAACCAGGGACCCAGGTTCAATTCCACCCTCAAAATGACTGTCTGTGTGGAGTTTGCACATTCTCCCCGCGTCTGTGCGGGTTTCATCCGTGCGCTCCGGTTTCCTCCCACAGCCTACAGATGTGCGGGTTAGGAGGACTGCCTATGCTAAATTGTCCATTGTGTCTAGGGATGTGCAGGCTCGGTGGATTAGCCACAGGAAATGCAAGGCTATAGGGATAGGGAGAGGGGTGGGTTTGGGACGGATGCTCTTCAGAGGGTTGATGCAGACTTAATGGGCCAAACGGCCTCTTTCTGCATGATAGTGATTCTATGATTCTAGCATGTTGATGTGGAGACAGAATCAGAGTCACCAATCTCCTTCTATCTGATATAAACCAGCCCCACACTCTCGGATTCAAATAAGAGGTGTTGACATTATGAGAATCTTTGGAAACAGAGAAAATGTTTTTGTAGAAACCTATAAATTCCTATCAGGACTAGACAGGATAAATGCAGGAATCCCAATGACTGTGGAGCCCAGAATCAGAAGTCACAGTCTAAAGTTACAGTTAGGTCATTTAGGCCTGATGCTCTTCCAAAGGGAGCAGTTACACAGCCATCCAGCATGGAAACAGACCCTTAGGTCCAAGTAGTCCATGCCAACCATGTTCCCAAACTAAACTGGTCCCACCTGCCTGCATTTGGTCTATATCCCTCCAAACATTTCTTATCCATGTACTTATCTAAATGTCTTTTAAACGTTATAACTGTAGCGGAATCCACCACTTCCTCCAGAAGTTCATTCCACACACTAACCACTCTCTGTGTAAAGAGGTCACTCAGGGAAAAGACTTTTGCTATTCACCTTATCTATAGCCCTCATGATTTTACATACCTCTATAAAGTCACCCTTCAAACTCCTATGCTCCAGTGAAAAAAGGTAACAGGCTTCCCTGTCTATTTTTACATCTCAAACCGTCCGTTCCAGGCGACATCCTGATAAGTCTTTTCCGAACCCTCTCCAACTTAATCATACACTTCCTGTTAAAAGCTTCTCTTTTCCTTCTTATCCAGGGTTCTCTGGGCTTGTTGCTTCCATATTTCACAAATGGAAGATGTCGGGCCCATACTCTCACCAATTCTATTTGGAATGCCCTCTACTGTTCTCCTGTAAATTTACTCAGAAGTAGCTGTTCTCAGTCAACTTTGGCTAGATTCTGCCTTTTTTTAATAAAACCTGTCTTTCCCCCAAAGTACTGGAGTCTATTATAAAGGATGTAATGGCACAGCACTTAGAAACACATAATACAACCAAGCAGTGTCAACATAGCTTCACGAAAGGGAAATCATGCCTGACAAACCCACCACAGTTGTTCAAGAAGGCAACAAGCAGGGCTGAGTAAAGAAAAACAACAGATGCGATAGTTGATCAACAGGAGACAACCACCAAGACATAATGGAGGGAATGCAGGCAAAATCTCTTTACCCAAACAAGGGCGAGTGTGTGGAACTCGCTGTCACAGGAAGTGGCCAAAGGTAATAATTTTGATGCATTTCACTAGAGGTCAAAGGGGCAGAGGGTTACGATGGTGGGATGTAAATGAGAAAAAACTGGACGAGGTCTGAGTGCAGGACAAACATCAGCATGGAGTGGTGGCGCTGAGTGAGCTGCTGTATTATCTCAAGGTGTTCAGAAAGAGGATGGGCCCCGATCTGGTGTGAGGACTACTCTATGACCGTGTCCCCACCGTCAGGTGACCCCGACGGTGCCTCAGCATGTTGGAGGACTGAGTGAAGCCCTTGCCGCACACTGAGCAAATGAAGGGTCTCTCCCCGGTGTGGACCCGCTGGTGGGTGAGGAGGTGCGTGGAGTGAGTGAAGCCCTTGCCGCACAGCGAGCAGGAGAACGGCCTCTCCCCGGTCTGAGTCCGGCAGTGGTTCAGTAGCTCCTTGGCGCGCGGGAAGCTCATGCCGCAGTCTGGGCACGCACGGGCATTGGCGTGAAGCTGCCGATGGGCCCTCAGGCTGGTTGACACAGCAAAGGCCTTCCCGCACTCGGAGCAGGCGTACGGCTGCTGGCCCATGTGAATGTGCCGGTGCGTCAGGAGGTGCGACAGCTGAGTGAATCCCTTCCTGCACTCGGAGCAAGCGAACGGCCGCTCCCCCGTGTGGACCCGCTGGTGGGTCAGGAGATTGGACGAGCTTTTGAACCACTTCCCACAGACAAAGCAGCTGAAGGGCCTCTCCCCAGTGTGAACGCGCTGGTGGGTCAGGAGGTGGGACAACTGGGTGAAGCCCCTCCCGCACGTGGGGCAGGTGAAGGGCTTGTCTCCGCTGTGAAGCCGCTGGTGGGTCAGGAGGTTGGCCGATCTGGTGAAGCCCTTCCCGCACGCGGAGCATGTGAACGGTCTCTCCCGGGTGTGGACCCGCTGGTGCGTCAGCAGGGTGGATGACTGAGCGAACCCATTCCCGCACACCGGGCAGGTGAATGGCCGCCTGCCCGAATGGATCCACTGGTGGGTCAGCATGTTTGACAGCCGAGTGAAGCCCTTCCCGCACACTGAGCAGATGAATGGCCTCTCCCCAGTGTGGACCCGCTGGTGGGTCAGGAGGTGGGAGGTCTGAGTGAACCCCTTCCCACACACGGAGCAGGTGAACGGCCTCTCCCCGGTGTGACCACGCCAGTGAATCTCCAGCAGGGACGGGTAGTTGAAACCTTTCCCACAGTCCCCACATTTACACGGTTTCTCCATGGTGCCAGTTTCCTTGGGTCACTTCAAGTGGGACAATCACTTGAGGCCTGGTTCATAAACACAGAACACGTATGTCTTCACTCCTCAGTGTGAATGGTGCAATGTTCTTGCAGTCTGTGTAACTGGTTAAAGCTCTTCCCACAGTCAGTTCACTGGAACACATGGATGTATGTGTCAGTGCTGTTCCAGTCACACTGATGTTCAATACACTCTTCCCACAGGCAGAATAGACAAACATTTCTCTGTCCACATTGTCAAGCTGCTGATAACGTAAGTGACCCAGTCATATTCTGCTGCTGATCACAGGAGTGACTCTCTCTGTCCTTAAAACGCAACAACCTGTAAATCCTCCTGCTCTCATTTCCTGCAAAAGAAGTTCACAAAAGGTGTCCATTGCTAGGAGCAGAGCACGAATTTGCTGTAAATTGGAACATTCTTCTCAATCTTCTTCCTGAAAAGCTATAAATCGCTGTTGTACATATTCTGGCTGACTTTCCCCTGCTGTTGGAGACTCTCATGGGGACCCAAGAATTGGGGGGCACAGTTTAACAACAGGAGGACTATGAAGAGGGACTTCTTCTCTCAGATAGTTATTAGTCTTTGGAATTCTTTATTCCAGAGAGCACTGGGGGCTGATATACTCCAAGACTGAGTTGGACAATCTTTTTTGACTGACCAGGGAGTCCAGGGTAAGGGGGAGCAGGCAAGAAAGTGAAGTTAAGACCACAACCAAAGCAGCCATGATCTTACTGCATGGCAGAGTTGGCTTGAGGGGTCAGACAGCTGTCCTTGGCTCTATTTCCTGCGATCTCACGAGTAGACACCCACTCTCTGGTTAATCCTTCCCTTAGTTCCAATCTATGATGCCAAATCAAACTTTCACATCTTGTCTTCTTTCTCACTTTGGAGTTCATTGCACCAATCTGAAATCAGGAAACAGCACTCGTTCAGAATTGGAAAATAGAGTCAGAGTGTCACATACCATAAAAACAGGTCCTTCGGACAACCATGTCTAAGCTGACCAACAAACACCAAACTACACTCGTCTTATTTACCTGCACTTGATCCGTAGCCCACTGTGCCCTGGCATTTTAAGTACTCATCCAGTTGATTCTTAAATGTTGAAAAAGTACCTGCCTTCACCACCCTCTCAGGCAGCAGATTCTACATTTCCACCACCCTCTGGGTGAAATCATTTTTCCTTAGATCTCCTCTAAACCATTTACTCCTCACCTTAAATGTGCGTCTACTGCTCTTAGATATGTCTCCCATTGGGAAGAGATTCTCAGGCTCTACCATGTATATGCCTCTCATAATTCTGTACACCTCAATCAGGTGTCCCCCCTCAGCCTTCTCTGCTCCAGTGAAAGCAAGCCCAGCCTATCCAGGTTCTCCTCATAACTTTTCACCCCAAGCAACATCCTGGTGAATCTCCTCTGCACCCTCACCAGTGCAATCACATCCTTCTGATAGTGTGGTAAACAGATCTGCACATGGTACTCCTGCTGTGGCCTAAACAATGCTTTCCAAAGTTGTAACAAGTCTTCCTTGCTCCTATATTCTACACTCTGGCAAAGGAAGGCAAGCATCCCATCAGCCTTCTTCACAACCCTGCCTATCAGTGCTGACACCTTCAGGGACCTATAGACTTGTACAGCAAGGTCCCATTGATCCTCGGTACCTAGGAACCTATAGGTCATAGTGTATATCCTCCCTTATTAGATCTCCCCAAATGCATCACTTCACGCTTTTTAGGATTAAATTCCATCTGCTACTACTCCGCCCAGTTTTGCTTCCAATTCCTAGGCTTCCAGCACCTTCACCCGATTCTTCCCTCTCACAAATTAATTGCTCGTGTTTCTAGGGATAGGTAGTTCACGCGTACCCATCGACTCCCAGAGTTCCACTCTGCCCACACCATTTCCAGCCCCTTCGAGTTTGGAAGGACTCGAAACAAGAACTCTGTTTTTCTCACTCTGCACAGATAATGCTGGACTTACTGAGTTTCTCTGACACTTAACTCTATAAACTCACCTGATTACTTTCTGTGCCTGCATTGCTAACCTGCTGCAATTCACACAGCAACACTTTTCAATGTATTTTACAACAAAATACACATGACAATCAATAAATCAAGTCAAACGCACCAGGCATGGTAGACTGGTTAGCAAAGTTAGGTCATATGGAATACAGGGAGAACTAGCCATTTGGATACAGAACTGGCTCGAAGGTCGAAGACAGAGGGTGGTGGTGGTGGGTTGTTTTTCAGACTGGAGGCCTGTGACCAGAGGTGTGCCACAAGGATCAGTGCTGGGTCCACTGCTTTTTGTCATTTATATAAATGATTTGGATGTGAACATAGGAGGTAAGGTTAGTAAGTTTGCAGATGACACCAAAATTGGTGGTGTAGCAGACAGCGAAGAAGGTTACCTCAGAGTCCGATGGGATCTTGATCAGATGGCCCAGTGGGCCGAGGAGTGGCAGACAGAGTTTAAATTTAGATAAATGTGAGGTGCTGCATTTTTGAAAGGCAATGCAGGGCAGGACTTATATAGTTAATGGTAAGGTCCCAGGGAGTATTGCTGAACAAGGAGACATTGGACTGCAGGTTCCTAGTTCCTTGAAAGTGGAGTCCCAGGTAAATCGTGAAGAAGGTATTTGGTATGCTTGTCTTTATTGGTAGGTGCATTGAGTTTAGGAGTTGGGAGGTCATATTGCAGCTGTACAGAACATTGGTTAGGCCATTTTTGGAATACTGCATTTAATTCTGGTCTCCCTGCTATAGGAAAGATGTTGTGAAGCTTGAAAGGGTTCAGCAAAGATTGACAAAGATGTTACAGGGTTGGACGGCTTGACCCACCGGGAGAGGCTGAATAGGCTGGGGCTGTACTCCCTAGAGCGTCGGAGGCTGAGGTGTGACCTTATACAGGTTTGTAAAATCATGAGGGGCATGGATAGGGTAAATAGACAAGGTCTTTTCCCCAGGATAGAGGAGTCCAAAACTTGAGGGCATAGGTTTGAGGTGAGAGGAGGAAGATTTAGAAGGGCCCTGAGGGACAGCTTTTTCACACAGAGGGTGGTGCGTGTATGGAATGAACAGCCAGAAGTGGTGGAGGCTGGTACAATTACAACATTTAAAAGGCATTTGGATGGGTACATGAATAGGAAGGGTTTAGGCGGACATGGGCCAAATGGGACTAGATTAATTTAGGATTTCTGTTCTGCATGGCTGAGTAGGGTCTATATCCGTGCTGTACATCTCGCCAACTGTAAACACCTAGCTCCTGGTCTTCCTAACATTGAGTGGACAGGGACGTGGTTGACGCACGCGCGGTAATGCCTGGCGGGCGCCTGCCCTCACCACTTGGCGGGCCCAAGGAGCGCGCCTGCGCGGCGGACGCCTGTTGCTAGGACGGTTCCCACCCCTCCCCCGGGGCAGCCGCCGCCGCCACCATCCTACTACCCCACCCCCTCAGACCCGTCCCCGCTGAGGTACCCGTCATCCGTTCACGTCCCCTCTAAACTTGAACCCTTTCAGCGGCGAGACGGGAGAAGGTAAGAACGGAAGCGAGAGACTTCGTTGAAACGCGAAACGAAACAAAAGCGGCCGCCGCATCTCTCGGGGTCCGCCCCGCAACCGCCGAACGTCTGACGCAAGCACGTCGTCGACGTCTGCGGACGGAGAGCAGCGCATGCGCGCCACTGCGGCCCCTCCACGTGGGACAAAAGAGGCAACAATGGGCTCGTGGTCTATCCATTTAAAGGGATGGACCCCAAAGTTATATTAGCATCCAATGTGTCAGCTTGAGAGGAATTGGGCTCCCCAGCCTCACTTTTTGCCCCCGACATCTCTTTGCAGCCTCGTAGTATCCACCCCATGGCTTACCTTTACTGCCCACTTAAGAGTCACACAGCACAGAAAGGCCTCCTTCGGCCCAATCAGTCCATGCCGACCATAATCCCAAACTAAACTAGTCCCACCTGCCCGCTCCTGACATGTATCCCTCAAAACCTTTCTTATTCATGCACTTATCCGAATGTCATAGAGTCATACAGGAAAGAAACAGACCCTTCGGCCCAACCAGTCCATGCCGAACATAATCCCAGACTAAACTACACCCACCTACCTGCTCCTGGCCCACATCCCTCCAAACCTTTCCAATTCATGTATTTATCCAAATGTCTTTTAAACATTGTAACCGTACCCACATCCACCACTTCCTCAGGAAGTTCATTCCACACGCGAACCACGGTCTTGTGTAAAAAATTTGCCCCTCGTTTCTTTTTAAAATCTCTCTCCTCTCACCTTAAAAATGTGCCCCCAGCCTTGAAATTCTGCCACCCGAGGGAAAAGACAACCACCATTCACTCCATCTGTACCTCTCATTATTTTATATACTTCTATAAGATCGCTTCTCAACATCCTACGCTCCAGTGAAAAAAGCCCCATCCTATCCAGCCTTTCTTTATAACTCAAGCCTTTCATTCACAGCGACATCATGGTAATTGTCTTCTGAACCCTCCCCAGCTTAATATCCTTCCTATAACTGGGCAAACTGGACACAGTATTCCAGAAGAGGCCTCACCAATGCCTTGTACAACCTTAACATGACTTCCCAACTCCTATACTCAAAGTACTGAGCAATGACTGAGTCTCATGTCATTAGCTAAATTTCCTCCCCAGCTCTTCATCCAAAACCATTGTTTTGATTTTGGGGGAAGGGGAGAGTGTTCGTGGTCACACTTGGATTCGGAAAGTGAACACACTACAGCCAAGTTTGCCAATGACACAAAAATAGGTGGGAAGGCATATGGCAAGGATGACACAAAAAAGTCGACAGAGAAGATAGGGACAGGTTCAAGTGAGTTGGCAAAAACATGGCGGACGAAAGAAACATGGGAAAGTGTGAGATTGCGCAATTTGTTACAAAGAATAGAGGAGCTAAATATGTAATGGGGAAAACTGCAGAATTAAATAATTTATTGTCACTTGCATTTTACAGTGAATTACACAGTAAGATACAGTGAAAAGCTTCAACTGTCACCACAATCAGGCACCATTTTGAATAGTTTAAGAATAAAAAGATGTAACTGAAAGAGAGTCTATCTTCCGTCCACTACCTCCACCATGAGCCCTGAGCCAGCTCACCAGTGACACCCACACCACTACCCGTCCTCCGCCAACCCACCGTCATAGGGGTCGCCAGTCTTTAGGCGCCACCCATTCACTGCTGGGCCCACCTCGCCAATGCCACCGCTGAGTCCCAGGCTAAAACCATAATCATCCCCACGACCAGGAGAACCCCCCCCCCAACCTCGCTGATAACCAGCTCTGCTGCTGTTGCTTCGATGATGCTGGGAGCGCCTGCTGCGGGCACACTACCTCTGTGGGCCGTCGCGGCCACTGGCTCGCCAGGACCAGGAGTCCTTGCTCTTGACCTACTGCAGCCAGGAATCCCTTGCTCCACCAGGCCAGGTCCACCTCCACGCCAAGCGTCCCGCTCCTGCCGCCCTCCTCCGAGACGCCACCTTGTTGGCACTGCCATCTTGCCCGCTCTCGCCGCCGTGCCAATGCTGCCGACCAACCTGCCAAAGGAAAGAAAAGCCAAAGAACAAAAGCAGAAGAAAAGAAGCAGACATAAAAAGAAGGGAGCGGATGAGCCCTGGGCAAGGGCCTGCACGCAGCTCTGATACTCCATCGCTGTCTTGGAGGTTCCCTTGGATCTTTGGGATCCTTCTCCATGAATTACAAAAGGCACAGTGGCCCAGTGGTTAGCACTGCTGCCTCACAGCACCAGGGACCTGGGCTCAATTCCACCCTCGGGCCACTGTCTGTGTGGAGTTTGCATGTTCTCCCCGTGTCCGCATGGGTTTACTCCGGGTGCTCCGGTTTCCTCCCACAGTCCAAAGATGTGCAGGCTAGGTGGATTGGCCATGCTAAATTGCTCGGGATGTGTAGATTAAGTGGGTTATGTGGCAATGGGTCTGGACGGGATGCTCTGGGGGTCGGTGTGGACTTGTTGGGCCGAAGGGCCTGTTTCCACACTGTAGGGATTCTATGAATTCTGTGAAAAGCCAGCTTTCAAATTTGGCAGGTAATAAGGAAGGTAAATGGATCATTGTGTTTTATTTCAAAGGGAATGGAGTGCGCAAAATTTGAGATTTTGCTTAAACCGTCAAGGCATTAATGCATTTCAATGCAAGAAGTGCAACAGGTAAAATAGATGAACTTAGAGTCCGGGTTAATTCTGATTGTTGTTGTCATTCACGGAGACATGGTTGAAAAAGGGACAGGATTGTCAGCTTAATATTCTGGGATAACGATGTTTTAACCAAGACAGCCGAAGAAGCAAAAGAGGTGGAGGAATTTGCATTACTGGTTAGGGAGCATGTCACAGCTGTGTTGAGGGAGGATACCCTGCGGGGATCTTGCACCGAGGCATAATGCGTAGAGCTCAGGAATAGGAAGGGTACAACTGTACTACAGACCTCCCAGCTGCCAACGAGAGATAGAGATATGTAGTCAAATTCTGGAAAGATGTGAAACTAACAGAGTTGTTATGGTGGGTGATTTTCACTTCCCCCATATTGACTGGATTCCCTTAGTGCAGGGAGTTTGGACGGGGAATAATTTGTTAGGTCTGTCCAGGAGGATTTTTGAACGAGTATGCGGTTAGTCATTGGAAAATGAGCTCAGCCAAGTGATCAAAGTTTCAGTGAGCGAGCGTTTTGGGAATAGTGACCATAATTCTGAAGGTTTTCAAATGTTTTTTGAATGTGAATATAATAGGTATGGTTAGTAAATTTGCAGATGACACCAAAATTAGTTATGTAGTGGACAGCGAAGAAAGTTACCCAAGAGTACAATGGGCCCTTAATCAGACAGGCGAGAAGTGGCCGATCAAGTGTTACATTTTGTTAGAGCAAATCAGGGCAAGACTTATACACTTAATGGTAAGGTCCAGGGGAGTGTTGCTGAACAAAGGGACTTTGGAGTGTAGGTTCATAGTTCGTTGAAAGTGGAGTCCCAGGTAGACAGGTTACTGAAGAATGCATTTGGTACACTTGCCTTTATTGGTCAGTGCATTGAGTATAGAGGTTGGGATGTCATATCGCAGTAGCACAGGACATTAGTTAATCACTTTTGGAATACTGTTTTCAGTTCTGATCTCCTTGCTATAGGAAAGATGTTGTGAAACCTGAAAGGGTTCAGAAAAGATTTACAAGGATATTTCCAGGGTTGGAGGGTTTGACCTATAGGGAAGAGGCTGAATAGGCTGGGGTCATTTTTTCTGGAGCATTGGAGGCTGAGGGGTGACCTTATAGAGGTTTATAAAATCATGAGGGGCATGGATAAGGTGAATAGTCAAGGTCTTATCCCCAGGGTAGGGGAGTCCAAAACTAGAGGTATAGATTTAAGGTGAGAGGGGAAAGATTTCAAAGGGATCTAAGGGGCAACTACTTCACGCTGAGGGTGATGCGTGTATGGAATGAACTCCCAGAGGAAGTGGTGGAGGCTGGTACGATTACAACATTTAAAAGGCATCTGGATGGGTATATGAATAGGAAGGGTTTAGAGGGGTATGAACCAAAAGCTGGCAAATGAGACTCGATCAGTTTAGGATATTTGGTCGGCCTGGACGAGTTGGACTGAAGGGTCTGTGTCCATGCTGTATATCTCTATGACTATTATGGATAAGGACAAGAATGGACATTGAATGAAGGTGTAAATTAGGGGAAGGCCAACTGTAAGCAAATCAGGTAACAATTGGAGAATGTGGATTGGGAGCAGCTGTTTGAGGGTAAATCCACATTTGGCATTTGGAAGTCTTCTAAAGACCAATTGATTAGAGTGCAGGACAGGCACGTTCCAGTGAAAATGAAGGACAGAGGAAATTATCAGCTTAGCCAAAAGAAAACGGAAGCATACTTAAGGCCTAGGCAACTAAAAACAGACCAAGTCCTTGAAGAATATAGAGAAAATAAGAAGGCTAAAAGGACCAATGAAATGTCCTGGGCCAGCAGGGTTAAAGAGAATCCCAATACATTTTATACATGTGTGAAGAGCAAGAGGGAAGCTAGGAAAAGAGCACGCCCATTCAAAGATAAAAGAGGGAGTTTATGTGTGGAGCCAGAGGAAGTGGGTGAGATCCTTAATGAGTACTTTACATCAGTATTCACCTAAGAGAAGGACGTGTGGGATGTTGAGGTCAGGGAAAGGTGTGTGAATATTCTCAGACAGGTCAACATAATGAAGGAGGAAGTGTTGGATGTCTTGAAATGTACTAAGGTATTCAAGTCCCCAGGGCCAGACGAGATCTATCCCAGGATACTATAGGAGGCAAGGGAGGAAATAGTTGAGGCCTTAAGACATAACTTTGCATTATCTTTGGCCTCAGGTGAGGTTCCAGAGGCCTGGACAATGGCCAATGTTGTTCCTTTTGTTTAAGAAGGGAAACAAAGATAATCCAGGTAATTACAGGCCAGTGAGCCTGGCGTCAGTGGAGGTGAAGCTGTTAGAGAAGATACTGAGAGACAGAATTTATTCACATTTGGAAGCAAATGGACTTAGTAGTGACGAGCAGCATGGGTTTGTGTGGGGAAGGTCATGTCTCACCAACTTGA